AAAAAACGTAATTTGTTCAGATATACAGTAGGCAGCTAAAAATATAACACTCTGGCAGAGAAGTGGTGGCGATCCATCCCATTAGTAGTCACCAAAGGGGTTATCCAGGGAGAAAATATAGAAAAGCAACACAGCTGAGGATGCAGACGACAAAATGCTGACATTGGAAGGGCAGATGGAAGAAGAGGAGCCAGCTGGGATTAAAAGTGGCTGAAATAGGGGCACCTGGGTGGTTCAGTTGGTTAAGTGTCTGCCTTTGGCTCAGGCCATGATCCCAGGGTCCTGGGATTGAGCCCCATGTTGGGCTCCTTACTCAACATGGAGCCTGCTTCTCCCTCTCCCTCTGCTGCTCCTCCTACTTGTGCTCTCTCTCGATCTCTCTCTAATAAATAAAATCTTTAAAAAAAAAAATAAGAGTGGCTGAAATGGATGTAGGACAATCAAAAGCAAAGGCAGAAGTGATCTGATTTGGCTAAAGCCATCTCTAACAACAGATGAAACAGAAGAATTCTGTAAAGGATCCACACTCTGGATATCAATCAGGGTAAGAGGTTAGGAATTAATTCTGTGGGCCAAAGATTTTTAAACATCTGGGGGATTGAGAGGCTTATACTCCAACTCTCACCATTTGCCCTCAACCCTGAGGTACTGGCATTCACTGTAGGGCAGTTTGAAAATCATTCCTGTGGATAGTCATGGAGAGTTTCTGAGTATGAATTAATAGGAATAGGGGTGGCATCAGGAGGATTCATTGGATAACTATACGGGATGAACTGGAAAAAGAAAAAAGTCTAGATTTTGGTAGCAACCATGGTATTGATCTCAAAGGTACAAATGGCAGCCTGAATTTTTTTATTTAGTTTTTTTGAAGTTTTTATTAAAATTCTAGTGAGTTAACATATAGTGTAATACTGGTTTCAGAAGGAGAATTTAGTGATTCATCACTTACCTACAGCACCCAGTGTTCATCACAAGTACCCTCCTTAATACCCATTATCCATTTAGCCCATCCCCTGCCCACCTCCCCTCCATCAACCCTCAGTTTATACTCTATAGTTAAGAGTCTCTTATGCTTTTCCTCCCCCTTTTATTTCCCCCTTCCCCTATGTTGTTTTATTTCTTAAATTCCACATATGAGTGAAATCATACAGTATTTGTCCTTCTCTTATTTTACTTAGCACACTCTAGCTCCATCCATGTCATTGCAAAAGGCAAGATTTCATTCTTTTGGATGGCTAATATTCCACTATATATGTGTGAATATAGTGTGTGTATACACACACTATGTATAAATACACACACACACAAACACACCCCCCACATCTTATCCATTCATTAGTTGATGGACATTTGGGCTCTTTCCATAATTTGGCTATGATTGATAATGTTGCTATAAACATCAGGGTGCATGTGTCCCTTCAAATCAGTATTTTTGTATCCCTTGGGTAAACAACAAGTAGTGCAATTGCTGGGTCATTGGGTAGTTCTATTTTTAACTTTTTGAGGAACCTCCATACTGTTTTCCAGAGTGCCTGCACCAGTTTGCATCTCACCAACAGTGCAAGAGGGTTCCCCTTTCTCCACATCCTCTCCAACATCTGTTGTTTCCTGTGTTGTTAATTTTAGCCATTCTGACAGGTGTGAGGTGATAGCTCATTGTAGTTTTGATTTGTATTTCCCTGATGAGTGATGCTGAGCATCTTTTCATGTGTTTGTTGGCCATCTGCATGTCTTTTTTAGAAAAATGCCAGGGCAGCCTGAATTAAGATGTGGTGGTTAGCATGAAAAAGCTGCTTCGACAGGGCTTTGCTAGCCTACAGAACTAGGTATTTTTGGTGGGACTGAGACCATCTCAAGAGTTTTTACTTGGGAGAAGTGACATAAAGGCACTGGATCAGTGAAGGATTAATTTAGGAATGGTAAAAAGGATTAAACAGAGGGTAAGACTGGAGGTAGAGAGACAAGTTGTTGTAGCTGCACAGATATAAAGTGATGAGACCCTGAAAAAAAGTTCAGAACACACAAGCATTCTTTGCCAACATTCCACTGTGTCTTCCAAAATGGTGCCTCTAGTTCCTGCCTGCCTTAGTTTCTGGTCGCCTCATCCCAAGAGGATATGCCTGGGCATATCCCCCAGCTAGCACTCACCATTCCCTGGTTAGCTAGGCTGGCATGCTACAGCCTGGACGTCCCTCTCAATCCAGCCCCAATTCCACCACTTTCATTTGTTTGCCTTGGCCTCTCTTCTCAGGTGAAGAAGACTATTTGGATGCTGCTACAGTCATACACTATTTGTATTTGCCCAGGTGTCACTTTCATTTTCATTTTTCTATTCCCACCAAATCTGACAAAACAGAATACTGGCCCACAAGCAAGAACTTGGTTTTAAGCCCAGCTCTGCTATTGAATCATGTGGCTCTGGGCATGTCATTTTATCTTTTTTGGCCTGAACTTTCTAACCTTGAAAATAGGGACTGTTGATTAGATTAATGATAGTTAACTTCAAGAAACTGATGAAAGCTAAGGACCCCTTTCTCAGGAGATTCACATGTGCACATACAAAATCTATAAACTTCAGGAGATTCATAAACACCCTTCAAGCCCATCTATGAACCCTTCCAGGCAGTGTTTCTTAAAATATATGAGTCAGAACCACCTGAAGTCCTTGCTAAAAATGCAGTCCCAGACCCTCCCAAGAGATTTTGACTTACCGTGTCTGGAATGTAGGCCCAGTAATTTACAATTTTTAAACTCCAGGTGATTCTAATGCAGGTGGCCCATGCTGCACCATCATATCTAGATAAAGTGCTTGAAGCATCCTTGCAACTCAGGTTAAAAACTTTTGGACCAGGGCGCCTGGGTGGCTCAGTCGTTAAGCGTCTGCCTTCGGCTCAGGTCATGATCTCAGGGTCCCGGGGTCGAGTCCCACATCGGGCTCCCTGCTCAGCGGGAAGCCTGTTTCTCCCTCTCCCACTCCCCCTGCTTGTGTTCCTGCTCTCGCTGTCTCTCTCTCTGTCAAATAAATAAATAAAATCTTTAAAAAAACAAAAAACAAAAAACTTTTGGACCAGTTGCTCACTAGAATTCATTCTACAGCTAAAGTAAAATTCTGTCTCTGTCTTTGTGGGCCTATGTCATTGAGAAGGGGATAATAAATAAAAGTTAACTTCTAGGTCTTAAGTCTGAATGGTTGTAGCACAAAAAGAAAAATCCAAATTGTCCTTTTTAAGTGAGGAAATCGGTACTCAATGTATTTGTTTCAAAAGGGGAAGAAAAAGTTTGAGGGATATTTACAACTTGTTAGTTACTAAATGTTTACAAAATCAAAATCAAACAATATAAAACCCCAAATCTGGACTCTACAACTTTCTAAAGAAATGTAGCGCTAAGTATGAGTCTCTGTAAGGTGAAACTGTTAAAACAAAGATATTCACACACAGCCAACAGATTCAAGATAAATACAAAAAGTATTTCTCTTGTACACAAATGATTTAGAAGTATTTGTGAAATAACGGTATGAAAATTATAGAGCAACAATTTGAACTACCCTACAACAGTCTCATAATTTGATTTGCTGTTATTAGGTACTTCTATTATAGAAGCGGAAGATAAACATGTTAACTTGGGTTTTAGGAGGCAGCCACAACTTCCGTGGCACTTTGCATAAAGACTTTGACTTAATCCTCTTTGAGAAAAGTATCCCTTCCACTGTATAAATGAAGAAAGTGACACCCCAGAGTCACAGCTAGATAAGTGGCCCAGTCTGAGCAAATCTGGCCTCCTAACCTGATGTTTTTCATTGTTGTGAGGACTTCCCGTCCCCATCCACCTGTGTCAATTTCCACACACGGCCTCCAACTCCTTTTAACCATCTCAGAGATGGGATGCATTTCTCCAGTAAATTCACCTGTCAGGAGCCAGGGCTCCAGACGCGCAAAGATGGGAGGAGGGTATGGGGCGGACAATGGGGGGCTGGGGTGCTCCTCGGCTCGGCCTGAAACCTCAGAGCGTCACCCTTGGCTGGTCCCGGAGCAGAGCAACGGAGCAGAAACCCGGCTCCCTGGTCACCCCTCCCCAGGGACGGCCTCCCGGGCACTTACAACCACGAAACCAGGCTGCGGCGAGGGCTCGCGGTTGGGCCTGCACTGAGTTGCCGACCACAACGGGTAAAATTTCCTACAGCAGTCCTGCACCTCCCAGGTCCCGGCTACAACCTGCAACCTAAAGGCCAAGCGTGACTATGGGGCGGGACAGGGTACGGCAGCAACATTTACCTCATCCAGCTCGGGCCTGGCCGCTTCCGGCCTTTCCGGGTCACCCATCGCGCAGACTCCGCCAGAGCTACGGGAACTGAAGGAACCGAAAGCCTCAGACCACCTCCAACTATGCTAGGACCCAGGTGGCCCGCGGGTCCACTGAGTCCGCCCCGCCTCCAGCTGCACAGACCCCTCCTACTCCTGCCGGCCCCGCTTTCTCGCCAGCGGATTGAGCAACGCCCCCTGCGCCGGCCTGGCCCCGCCTCCCCCGCCTCAGGGACCCGCCTACTCCGGCCGGCCCCGCCTCCCGCCTGCCCAGTGAGGGACTCCCCGCGCCTTCGGCCCCGCCTCCCCGGTCCCAGGACCCCGCCCACCCCGGGAGGCCCCGCCCCACCCCGCTACCGCTACCCGGACCCCGACCCCGCCTCCCGCCGGCCCCGAGAAGAACTCGCGCGGAACCCGCGGGCCTCGCCTCCCGGCTTGCAGCGTGAGAGATTCGGCCTGCGGCTTTCGGCCCCGCCCGCTTGGCTGGCTCCGGGCTCTGCTCACTGGTACGGGAGGTACCCGGACACGCCTGGTCACCTCTCCGGGTCCAGATTCCCCAACCAGCTTTCGCCGTGCCTCAGGAACACGGTATGTCGCGCTAACTTGGCCTGTCCTGAGACACTGCCCCGGGGGGTAGGAGACACTGGAGGAGATGAGGAGAAAGCGCTCTTCGCGTGTGAAGCGGTGGTGGGAAAAGCCACGCGATAGGTGAAAAAAGAAAACCGCACTGTTAAAAAATTAATGAGGAGAAAAGGCTGCCTTGTTTTGTATTTCGGCAACCGGAAAGAAGTGGTTGAGGGCAAAGTGTGGGTGTGAATGGGGTAGGTGGGGCTCCCAGAGTGAGGAGGAGAGGCAGAAAGGACTAAATTCAGGAAGATGTTGTGGAAGCCCTGTGAAATTGTTTCAACAAACTAAGCTTTTGGAAGTAGTTACTGAGCGCCTGTGTGAGCGAGGCATTTCATCTTCAGGACACCTGTGTGAGGATAAATCACTAGGATTAACTAGGGAGCAACAGAGAGATTCCCCCCGTGTCATGGCAGGAGTCGGTGCCGAGAGTCACAATAATGTGATTGAATGACTGCTTCCAATCTCTCGCGGGTGGGGGAGCTGATCTGAAGATAAGTACAACAGAAAGCAAAAAGAAAAAAAAAAAAGTTTAGCAAATAAAAATGAGGTGAAAGAGATTCAGTAGCTTGAAGCTGAAATATTGGGAGAACCTTGTTATGCCTTGAATAACATGCACCTGTTCTGTGGATAGCCGTGTGAAGTATGGTAAAATAGGATAGAAAATTAAGCTTTGAAAATGCCCAACAGCTCTTTCTAAAACCTGCCCCAGAATGGGGGATGAGAGTTATCTTTCTTAAGGCAATTACTAGGGGTCAAGTGCTGAGGAAAATGTTTTACATATATTGACTTTAAGTAATGGCTAAATTCTGTGAGGAAACTGAGTCTTAAAGAAGTTAGATAATTTATTGGCCACATGGCAAATTAAGAGCAAGGATTATGTCATTTAAAGTTATGAAACAATAGGTCTACTATATGTCAGGCATCATATTTGCTATTGAAGAAACAAAAATGAATGAATTTAGTGAAAAAGAACGTGGATCCTGGAGCCATATCATCATGGGCGTGAATTCTAGCTTCCCCATTTATTAACTGTGCTACCTTGGACAAGTTACTTAGCCTCTGCAAGATTCAGTTTCCTCACCTGTAGGATAAGAATAATAATGCCTTCCTAAAAAGATTGTTGTGTAGAATTAATATGTTACTTGTAAAGCACTTATTGGGGTGGGAAATTACAATGGTAGCTTCCAAGTACACTTGTGCTACTAATCAGGCCATCCTAAAGGTCATGGAACAGGGAGGTTCGGATCAAATTCAGTTGCTTGAATTACACAGTTTACTAAGTTAATTTAGAACCTACATCAAGGGGAAAGAGTTGGGGCAGCTAACATATTTAAGATAGGGTGTGGGGAGGGGAGGGACTGGAAGGAAGGACCCTACTCCAGATCTCAATGTCACTCAATGTTCATATATCCTGCCCTTGCTGCATCAGCTTTCCTGACTGGTGGTATAGTTATTATTTTTTTTTTTTAAGATTTTTAAAATTTATTTATTAGAGAGCGAGCAAGAGAGAAACAGCATGAGAGGGGAGAGGGTCAGAGGGAGAAGCAGGCTCCCCGCTGAGCAGGGAGCCCGATGCGGACTCGATCCCGGGGACTCCGGGATCATGACCTGAGCCGAAGGCAGTCGCTTAACCAACTGAGCCACCCAGGCGCCCGGTGGTATAGTTATTAAGAACAGAGTTAAGGGGCGCCTGAGTGGCTCAGTTGGTTAAGCGTCTGACTTGGGCTTCGGTCATGATCTCAGGGTCCTGGGATCGAGTCCCTCATAGGGCTCTGCACTCAGCAGGGAGTCTGCTGCTCCCTCGCGCCCACCCCCCACTTGTGCTCTCTCTCAAATAAAATCTTAAGAAAAAAAAACAGCTAAGGATTAGCCAGGGGTCTCAACAGACAGAAGGTAAAGCCAACACACTGGCTCTTTTGGTGGTGCAGGATCAAGTAGACCTGCTCACAGGTGTAACTTGCCTTAAATTAACCTGCTGTGAGTTTTATCTCTGTTTCCTGGGAAGAGCAGATGTGGGGCCAAAATGGATGTCACCAGTTGGTGGCTGATTTAGGAATAACATAGTTGTCAATCTGGAAGTGACATGATCTTTACCTTATGAATATTTAAGACCTACTTATTCCTTCCAGCCATTTCTGTCTGTGACATTCATTTATTACATTATTTTCATCTATGTTCAACATAATGTTCCATTTATTTTCTCTTTAACATACCTCATAGGTTAATAACTTATTTACTATTTATACTTAACATATCTTATGAATCTCTTTAGGTCTTACAATCCAGTTGCTCCCACACTTAGTTTCTTTCAATTTTTACTGCAGAATTGAATAATCTTAATATAGCAAAAACACATTACAGTGCTTTTAACAGTGCCTGGTGCATAGTAGGTAGTATGTATTAGTTTCCCTCCAAGATGTTTAAAGTTAATAGGGCAGATATAAAATGTGTAACTGGAAGATCTCTGGGAGTAAGAGGATTCTCTATCTTCATATAGCCTCTGTAGCATATTTTCCAAGAATACCCTCAACACTTTTGATCCCACGTACTGTTCCAGAAACTTGACATATCCCTCCCGTCAAAAGGTGGAGTCTTGGGGCACCTGGGTGGCTCAGTCGGTTAAGCGTCTGCCTTCCACTCAGGTCATGATCTCAGAGTCCATGATCTTTGAGCCCCTCATCTGGATCCCTGCTCAGTGGTGAGCCTGCTTCTCCCTCTTCCTCCCCTTCCCCCCACCCCAGTTCATGCTTGCTTGTGCTCTCTCTGTCTCAAGTAAATAAAATCTTAAAAAAAGAAGGTGGAGTCTCATTCCTCTTCTACTGGTGGTCTACATGTTTGTGTCTCCAAAATCCGTATGTTGAAAACCTAATGCTCAAGGTAATGGTTTTAGGAGGTAGGGCCTTTGGGAAGTGATTAATTAGGTCATGAGAGTTGAGTCTTCATGAATGGAATTAGTGCCCTAGATTGTTATGGGGTTTTTTTGTTTGTTTTTGTTTGGTTTTTTGAAATTGAGTTATAGGGGTTTTTTTGTATATTTTGGATATTAACCCATTAAAAAGGATATGATTGCAAATATTTTTTCTCATCCAATAGGTTGCCTTTTCATTTGGTTGTTGGATTCTTTTGCTGTGCAGCTTTTTAGCTTATTTATGTTGGGGTTTGTTGCCTTTTAGTATCAGATCCAGTAAAAATCATCACTAAGACTGGTGTTTAGGAGCTTACCACTTAAGTTTTCTTCTAGAGTTTTATGGTTTCAGTCTTTAATCTTTAATCCATTTTGAGCTAATTTTTGTGTATGGTGTTAAGATAGTGGGCCAGTGTCATTCATTTGCATGTGGCTGTCCAGGTATCCCAACACCATTTTTTGGAGTGACTGTCCTTTCCCATTATATATTGTTGGATCTTTTGTTGTAAATTAATTAACTATATATGCATGGTTTTATTTCTGGGCTCTCTATTCTTTCCATTGATCTATGTGTCTGTTTTATGTGAATACCATACTCTTGATTATTACAGCTTTGTAATTTAGTTTGAAGTCAGGGAGTGTGATGCCTCCAGTTCTTTCTCAAGGTTGCTTTGGCTATTCTTTTGTAGGTCTATACAGAGGTCTTTTGTAGTTCTATACAGATTTTAGGATTGTTTGTTCTATTTCTGTAAAATGTGCCATTGGAATTTTGCTACAGGTTGCATTGAATCTATAGATTGCTCTGAGTAGTATGGACATTTTAACAATATTCTTCCAACCCATGAGGTCAGACTCTCTTTCCATTTATTTGTGTTTTCAGTTTCTTTTATTAATGTCTTATAGTTTTCATTGTGCACGTCTTTCACCCCCTTGGTTAAATTTATTCCTAGGTTTTTATTCTTTTTGATGGAATTGTAAATGGGACTATTTCCTAATTTCTCTTGTAGTTCATTATTGTATAGAAATCAACAGATTGGGGCGCCTGGGTGGCTCAGTCGTTAAGTGTCTGCCTTTGGCTCAGGTCATGATCCCGGGATCCTGGGATCGAGCCCCGCGTCGGGCTCTCCGCTCCGTGGGAATCCTGCTTCTCCCTCTCCCACTCCTCCTGCTTGTGTTCCCTCTCTCGCTGTGTCTCTCTCTGTCAAATAAATAAATAAAATCTTTAAAAAAAAAAAAAAAGAAATCAACAGATTTCTTGGGGCACCTGGGTGGCTCAGTCATTAAGCGTCTGCCTTCAGCTCAGGTCATGATCCCGGGGTCCTAGGATCAAGCCTCTCATCGGGCTCCCTGCTCGCAGGAAGCCTGCTTCTCCCTCTCCCACTCCCCCTACTTGTGTTCCCTCTCTCGCTTTGTCCCTGTCAAATAAATAAATAAAATCTTAAAAAAAATCAACAGATTTCTTTATATTTTGTATCCTGTAACTTCATTGAATGTTTATTTTAATACTTTTCTGGTGGAGATTTTAGTGTTTTCTATATATAATATGTCATCTGCAAATAGTGACAGTTTTATTTCTTCCTTTCCAATTTGGATACCATTTATTTTTTTTCTTGACTAATTGTTCCAGGTAGGCCTTCCAGTACTATGTTTAGTAAGTGGCAAG